ACCGACTGAACCACCCATGTGCCCCAATAAACATTTTTCTAAATAAATAAATGAATGAAAGCTTATTGTCTGTTCCCTGGTTTAAAAATCTTGCTGGGGTAAAAAGGGCAAAGTATCCTATTTTATCTTATGTCTTAATGCCCAGTGAATTTCATCTGGTTCCTGAATACAATAAGGCAAACATGATAGTTTTTCTTGATCCCCAGCTATAAGTTTATGTGAGAAATAAATTTAAATACCAGACTCTCAGAGAGTTTGTCTCATGGTTTGGCTTTTAAAAATAAAATTTTCAGCATATTTTAAAATAAGACTAGCTCACTTATCTTTGCTTATAGCTTTAAAAATCCACACTTTTAAATGGAAGTGATGAATTTATCTCCAAAAGAAGCACTGAAGTCAATAGTTAAAACATTCAAATGTAGTTTCAAAGTCAAACTTTAATAACTAAACAGCCTGTTGAAAGCCAGCAGACAAAAATTTTCCAGGATACTACAGATTAATTAATGAGCACTATTAAAGTCAAGGTCTAGGCCCCTTCCCGCAACACACAGAAATTATGTTTATGGTGACCAATATTCCTTTGTTCTGAACATTATACCTGTCAATCTCTGAGCCATGGAAGTCCTCTGAAATGACATCTGAGACAAATAAGCAAGTGTACTCATCACTTGCTACCCAATTACTATAGTTGGCTTCATAACAGGACTGCATCAATGTTTTCAGTAGTACTGCGATAGTCAAGCAGATAGTTCTCCAAATGTCCTGTTCCCTTTTACATGCCCAACCAGGGGGAAGAGAGCATGGTGGAGATTGTTTTCTTGGTATTTTGTTGTTCTAGAAAAAGGTTTATCGTCTATTAGACATTTTGGAGTGCACATATACCATGAAAAGGACATTTTGATGGAAAACGTACATTCTGGTTGGTTATTGTTGTTAAGTGCATTGTTCAGCAAATGTTCTGCTATATTGAGTTTCAGGCATCAGTTGAATTATATCATGGTGAAATTTGTGATTAAGGTAAGCTAACTCAAAATGACAAGCCAAGGGCTTTTAAAACCCACATTTCAATGAAATCTGGCAGCACAAAAACAGCTGCTCTAAGTCTGCTCCTCTAATATTTCAAAGGAAGAATAGCAATGGATTTCTGATACCATATGTGCCAACTGCAGAAATTCTAGAACAGCCTGAGAGACCTGGGTGAAAGGTCACACTCTACCTTATACAGATGGCACATTTAATTATTAAAGAGCAATTTTAATCATTTAATCATTTCAGACCCTGAAATGAAAGGTCTTCTCAGATATCTTGAAGATTGTTGCAACCTAAACTCTGCTGTCAAACTTCTATAGAGCCAGTAAATAGCATATGTGATTTCATATCCTAATTTGATTTACATTTTCATGTGAGTTAATTTTGTTTTGCAGGCTTTAAAAGACATTTCATGGGGAAAAAAAATTGAAGGTCATGTCTTTGGCAGAGAATTTGTCTACCCCTGCAGGAAAATTAAATCTAAATCCTTGCTTCGGACTTAAATCAGACTCCAATTCCTCAGGAGGATGGCTAAGTGGTCCCTTTTTTCAGCAGAGCTGCAAACAGCTCTGCTGGAAAATTGTGCAACTAGCCTCAAAAAGGTTTTCAAGAAAATTCCCTTAGTTTTTGTTCATTACAAAAAATTAACAGCCCCAGCAAAGCGTCTGGTATGTAGTGTTCAGTAATTGTTAGGCCATCCTCTCATCCTCTCAGCAAATGCATGCATGCACACATTCACACCCATACACTGGAATTCAAATTTAGTAATTTGGTAAGAATCATGGAATAAAATTGAGGATAATTCCAGCAATCAAAGGACAAAATCAAATGCAAATCAAAGGACAAAATCAAGTGCAAATCTTGGAATTAGTATGTCTAAATAAGAAATTTACTGTTAAAATAAGAAAATTACTCTTTCTGATTCAACAATAATAGCAAATATTTTTTGATAATTTATATGTCAGGCACTGTGCTAAGCTCTTAACATGTTAATGCTCATAACAGCTCAGATGGAAAAGTGCTATAATTATCTCCATTTTATAAATGAGGAACCTGAGGTACAAAGAGGTTAAGAGACCTGTTAAGTTCACATTACTGGTAAATGGAGCAAGGATGCCAAACCAGGTCACTGAAATTTTAAAACCCACAATTGTATCGATACCCTCCAGCTAAAGACCACCAGGAATATACCTGAATTTGAATGAACTGGGTATATTTCTTATTACAGAGAAGGAACATGTACAACAGGGTGTTTGAAAGCAGTTATTAAAGGATTTGGCCTTCTGTTTGGGGAAGGGCTTAAGGAAGTGAGACTTTTCTCTGGATTGGATGCTCTCAGGAAATGGGGGTAATGCTATGAATGGGTACCTTAATCAATCTTATGAAGGAGGGAAGACGGGAGGGCTGTAAGTGGTAAAGCAGCAGTGGTCACTCAGATTAGCCAGGATAGGGACATAGAGGGTCATAGTAAAGTAGGAAGAAGAATCAGGATTTGAACCCAGGTGGTTCACTCTGGAGTCGGTACATTACCTGCCTTACAGGCAAAAACAACAGAAAGAGCAAAAGATGCAAAAAATGATGGGAGAGATGTTTTGGAGAGAAACTTCCTTGGCTATGTAGTCGAGCAGAGGCGTCAAAGTGGGAGACAAATACCATAGAACTCCCTCGTGGGAGCTAAATGCTCTAACAATAGTCTGAAGTTAAAAAAAAAAAAAGTCACTTTACAGGACCTATTTGCTTTCCTGGAAGCCATCTAGGTCAATCTACCCACAAGTACCCACCAAACAGATTCTTCTCAGTTTTAAAAGGCTTAGCCCCATTATTTATGTGTGTGATAAGGTTACTTTCTTCAAGAGGACTCAGGTCCCTGCTGGCAGCCTGATGTCCCCAGTGAACTTGATGGATGCTCCCCTCCACACATTCTCAGGGCCACTTTCAGAGGAGTTATCTCCTTTTGGGGTCTGAGATCCCTTTGGTACCACTGCCAGGAGGCTCTCTCAGGAGACTGCTGCACTGAGCTCTGATAAAAGCATGTGGGAGTGAAGTGAAATGTGTCGTCCTGCAGAGCAGTTCTGCCCTTTGCTTGGGTAAAAAAACCATGATTTCCTTTGGGAAGTTCTCTTCCCTAGCACATATAGTTCCAGAAGGACATGGAAACGAAGGTGCCCTCCCTGCCGCCCTCCTTCAATTCACCAGCAACACATACCAAGGAGTGGCCACACACAACATGAGTCAGGCAAGTGAGTCTCTCTTTCCAGGAGTCTGAATCTTGAATGGAGTAACACACACATGAATTATGTGTAGATTCGACATGCGTCAGTTCTCTGCAGAGGCATTCATTCATTTCTAGTTGCCTAGATTCCCCAAACTGCCTTCATCCCTTTCCCTTCATCAACATCTCCTTTGACTCTCTGAGCTGTCTAGAATATTTCCAATATTTTTTTGCTTAAGTTAGTCAGTTCCTATTTGCATCCTAAGAAGCCGAATTGAAATGTAGATTTTATTTGATGATGTCTTCTATTGAGCAGAGTTTTGGAAAAACGTCCTTTAAAGATGTCGGTTCAAAATAATGAGAAAAGACATACAGTTAAAGCTCTGACTCCCAGTTCACATGGAAACCAGAGTAGACGTGCCCAGGAGACTTGTTTTATTAAGACTACTGGTCTTTGCTCCGTACTGACAAGTGATCAGAATAAATGGCCACAAAGATAATGTGTCTTTGACCTTGATTTTCATTATGCAGCTCTATGAAAAGAAACTTTTCTTTTCAATGGGAGCAGATGATGTTAAGTTCATAGCTCATCTCCAACTTATTTTATTGAAAAACAAAAAGAGAACACCTTTATTTCAACTTAACAGAGAAATCTGATTAGGAGCTTCCTAAATCTAAAGACTATTTCTCCAAAAAGTCCACTGTTGTATAAAATCACAGATATTCTTAAGTGGGACAATATGCTCTTCTTGAAATAACAGTGACCCATTTACTTCCAAGGCTTGAAGCTTATGGTGCTGCATTTGAAGTCACACCAAGCAATCCTCTGAGACTCTGAAGTCTTAGTGTAACTGAGTAAGAAAAGAACATAGTCATAACTATACCTTTTGAAAAACATTCTGGATGGGAAATAGGAGGCATTTCCTGAATATCTGCATCGGAATATATGCTTGTAGATACTGGAGAGTGATTTCATTTTAGAAATCAGATATCCTTGGAGATTTTTATTCTGTAAAGTAGCAGGTCACACTACTTTACATATGACCATTTAAAAATATGACCATTTAAAAATGCTTGTCTGTGCTTATTTTCAGATGACTGCCCACATGGAAAATCCAAGAGAACCTATAAGCTATTAAAACTAATAAATGAGCTCAGAAAGTTTCCTTAATCCCAAACCAATAGTGTTCTCATATACCAGTCATGACCAATTAGAAAATGTAATTGAAATGAAAATCCTATCCACAATATCACAAAAACTAAAGACATAAATCTATTAAATTTCAATATCAAAATAAATCCCAAAACAACACTGAGTTTAAAAAAAAAACAAATTGCAGAATGGCAGATACAAGATATTTATATAAATGATAAAATTTAAATTTTTATATAAATACAAAAAATATTATATTTAAAGCAATTTAAATGCAAAAGTACTATATAAATATTTATGGATTAATATACAAAATGTAGTTTTCTGGTTCTACCTCTGGGTAATGCAAGAAAAGAATGGGACTGGGGAAACACAGGGATTTTACTGCTTAAGAAAATATCTGAAGCAAACATGGCAAAATGGTAAGGTATGTTGTAGGTGGATTATTATTATCCTCTCTAAAAGATCATCACTGGCCGCCACCGCCACTAGCGTGCGTGCTGGTCAGCAGAAGGGCTGGGCCTGTGCTTTCTCCTCCTTCCTCCCCTCCTCTCACTCCGTCTACCCTGCCGCTGGGACCCCGTGTCATCGCCCGCCCCGAGCACGATGCGCCCCAAAAAGGGAGGTGATGGAATTAAACCGCCCCCAATCATTGGAAGATTTGGAACCTCCTTGAAAATTGGTATTGTTGGATTGCCAAATGCTGGGAAATCTACCTTCTTCAATGTATTAACCAATAGTCAGGCTTCAGCAGAAAACTTCCCATTCTACACTATTGATCCTAATGAGAGCAGAGTACCTGTGCCAGATGAAAGGTTTGACTTTCTTTGCCAGTACCACAAACCAGCAAGCAAAATTCCTGCCTTTCTAAATGTAGTGGATATTGCTGGGCTTGTGAAGGAGCTCACAATGGGCAAGGCCTGGGAAATGCCTTTTTATCTCCTATCAGTGCCTGTGATGGAATCTTTCATCTAACACGTGGTTTTGAAGATGATGATATCAGGCATGTTGAAGGAAGTGTAGATCCTATTCGAGATATAGAAATAATACACGAAGAGCTTCAGCTTAAAGATGAGGAAATGATTGGGCCCATTATAGATAAAGTAGGAAACGTGGCTGTGAGAGGAGGAGATAAAAAATTAAAACCTGAATATGATATAATGGGCAAAGTCAAATTCTGGGTTATAGATCAAAAGAAACCTGTTCTCTTCTATCATGATTGGAATGACAAAGAGATTGAAGTGTTGAATAAACACTTATTTCTGACTTCAAAACCAATGGTCTACTTGGTTAATCTTTCTGAAAAAGACTACATTAGAAAGAAAAACAAATGGTTGATAAAAATTAAAGAGTGGGTGAACAAGTATGACCCAGGTGCCTTGGTCATTCCTTTTAGTGGGGCCTTAAAACTCAAGTTGCAAGAATTGAGTGCTGAGGAGAGACAGAAGTATCTGGAAGCGAACATGATACCAAGCGCTTTGCCAAAGATCATTAAGGCTGGGTTTGCAGCACTCCAACTAGAATACTTTTTCACTGCAGGCCCAGATGAAGTATGTTCATGGACCATCAGGAAAAGGATGAAGGCTCCTCAAGCTGCAGGAAAGATTCACACAGATTTTGAAAAAGGATTCATTATGGCTGAAGTAATGAAATACGAAGATTTTAAAGAGGAAGGTTCTGAAAATGCGGTCAAGGCTGCTGGAAAGTACAGACAACAAGGCAGAAATTACATTGTCAAAGATGGAGATATTATCTTCTTCAAACTTAATATACCTCAGCAACCTAAGAAGAAATAAATTTTATTGTTCAGATAAATGTACAACTTCCAAAAAGGGATAGGATTTCTTTTAATTAAAATTTCTGAAAACTGAGGGGCAAATACAGTTGGGAGATGGGAATCTTCTAAAAACAGAATTATTTCTGTTTTAAAATTAAAACACTGTGTACCTCCAATGAAATGCAAGTTCACTAAATGTGAACAGCTTTGCTTTTCACGTGAATAAGACCCTAGTCCAAATTGTAGAGGCTTTTCAGGAACCATATTACTCTCATGATACTTCATTAATCCCCATCACGGATGCCAAGCCTGACACATTTGACAGTGAGGACAATGTGGCTTGCTCCTTTTTGAATCTATGGATAATGCATGTTTTACAGTACTCCAGATGTCTACACTCAATAAAACATTTGACAAAACCAAAAAAAAAAAAAAAAGATCATAATTATTCTCTGTAACTTTATCTTTCATAACAAAATGTTTTAAAATATTATTGTAACTGTGAGGAACAGAACAAAAATTTTCCTTATTGTTCCCTTATGCCAAGTGGAGAATCTGAGAATGAAATAAGAATCAGTCTAAATGTGTGGATGAATTTGTTGTTCCTAAAAACTTTACCAGCAATGTAGCCAGATGAAGTTGTTATGCATGAAATAACTTGGGACCTATGTGACCAGAGTCGATGCTCTTTAAATAAACATCCATCTATGTTTCCCCTTATGGAAAAACTTCTCCCTCAAGCTTTTATAAAACAGAGGTGGCAATGCTGGTCCTGGACAAAGAGGAGAGGGAAACGTCCTGAGTCTTGGTGCCAATCTTAACCACTCATTACTTGGTGACCTTGGAGAAGTTACTTTCTCCTGTCTCCAGTTTCTTCATTTGTAAACTGTGAGTATTCCATTTCCCTTTCTCACTAGCTTGTTATGTAGATAATACATACATATATATATATATATATATATATGTATATATATATTACTGCTTACTGCTATAAAATGTTGGAGGATTCTGTGTACACAGTTTTCACTGATTTCCAGACTGAATTTCACAGAAAGCCAAATATAGTTAAGTTGTTGGGAAGTGCAAATACAATCACTTTTTGGAGAAAAATGGTAGAAGCTTCCTAATACTAAAGGTTCACTATCAAGAAACTGATAATTTGTAAACAGGATTTAATCCTGAGGATTATCTTTGGAAGAAAATGTACGGAAGTGTTTGTTATTTTAGTGCCTTTTCTTAACTTACCAAAGAACTTTATTTGAAGAATTTCATTCTTCTCTTATCAGACTAAGATGTTTGACAGAAATTAAGATGCCTTCAGTTATTTTTGTTGGGATAAAGGCTAACCTCTGAAATTTACTTTAATTGGAAAAAGAATGTCAACTATTTTCGTATTTTTATCTGCAGATGTAGAAAGGCAATGGTTAAAAGCAATAACTCAGTAGTTCCGCTGGGTTTGAAACCAGACTTTGCCACTTACAATTGGATGCCAAATAATTTAACGTCTCTGCTTCAGTCTCTTCCTCAGTAAAATGGGGATGATGATGGTACCTACCTTTAGGCTATTGGGGTTTTAGGGAAGACAATCCTAACTCTCTCCTCAGGTGGATCTAGGTTTTGTGAGGCCTGAAGTTTATATTTTTAAAGAGACTCTTTAAGAGCAAGAATTTAACATTATTTTTAAAAAATTTTTTAATGTTTATTTATTTTTGAGATGGAGAGAGAGAGACAGAGTGAGAGCAGGGGAGGGGCAGAGAGAGAGGGAGACACAGAATCCGAAGCAGGCTCCAGACCCTGAGCTGTCAGCCCAGAGCCAGACATGTGGCTCAAACCCACAAACCTCAAGATCATGACCTGAGCCAAAGTCGGATGTTCAACTGAATGAGCCACCCAGGTACCCTAAGAATTTAACATTATATATACGAAATAAGTTATAAGGTCACAAAAGGAGTCCTGAAGCTTAAGCTTTATTAGCTTCTTGGTATACCTACCTCTGCTTTCCTCCACTCTCCAGGCCAAGAACCAACAGAGAAAGTAGACACAAAAGTCACAGTTGGAGATCAAAACACAGTCAAGCAATCTATTATTTACAATTCAAAATCCAAAAAGTCCTAAAATCCAAAAGTATTTTTGTAACTCATTTAGCAGAAAAATCCAATATCATCTGAACTCATTTGACAATAAAATCTGATGTGATGTGATATGGTCTTAATCTATCCCACTCAGTGTGACTATTCATACCTTTTAGTGCAGAAATAATAGTGTTTAATACTGGACAACTGTCCCAGAAACTATCATTGAATCATATAATCTTTCTAAAATCTGAAAATTTCTAAAGTTTGAAACCCACCCACCTGCTCCCAGGAACTTCAGATAAGAGATTGTGGACAGTGTCAGGTTTATTACTGACAAAGCTGAACTGAGGAATACATCAGAACCCCAGAAGTACAAGGGCTCTCCATAGCAAGCTTAGTGTGCAGAGGGGCAGAGAACACCACCTTCCTGGCTTGGAGAACAAGCCTTCCTGAGGAAGCAGCTGCAGCTGCCTTCCCTTCTCTCAAACTCACCAACTCTCCCAGACTTGTCCAGAGGAGAAAGAAGTTACTGAGGGGGCAGATTTGAGAAGCCCAAAGAATTACTCCCAAATGTTTCCCTCCCAGGGAGTCACGTGGAAACATGGGAGGCAGGAATACATGTTCCACACTAGCAGTGGGGTTATGGTGAAGATGAAATAAAACCATGACTTAAAAAGCTTAGCTTTGTTCCTGACCCCACAGGAAGTCTCAGTATCTGCTACCGTCACAGATAAATCTCCTGCACCTGAGTAATTTCCCTCTGGACTCAATCTCAGGACAATGTGGCCCTTTCCAACTCTGGTTTCTTTCTTGTGGTGTGAGGAAGCTGCTTGCAAGAGTTAGTATCACCCTCAAGAACAGTGCTGGTCCTTAAGGGATAGATTTCATTTTATCACTCTTTATCTCTTATTTTCTTTGTTCTGATTTCTTTGCTTGTTTATTTTACATTCTATGTTATCTGGCTATTTTATTTATCTTTAAACCTGAGTTTTTACTAACCACTTTAAATCCTTTTGGGAGCAGGGTGAGTATAAAGATACAAACAATTTTTAAGTAACTCAAAGAACAACAGAAGTATTTGCTACTTATTCCACATAAAACATAGATGAAATCAGTCAAATATGGAGGAGAAATCCAAGGATTAAGAGGTTTTGCATGACTGAAATTTGGTGAGAGAAATAACTTTCATGTCAGATATTTTTGTATCCAATTATCTTCTGGCTCCATGAACCAGAAATTTCTCCTTTTAAAGGTGTTAATGAAGTATATCATCTTATTTTATAAGAAATGTCTGATGAATCAAACTTTTTAAGAACGAAATCGGTCAATGGAGTAGAGAATAGACAGAAAGGCAGTGCTAGATCTTTAGGTGAATAAAACATAAGCTATATGAAATCATACTTAAGGTAACTTACAGAGATCTATATAGAAGAGGTGATCAATGATGACATATTTTTTTTACTTTTTATAATCATAAATATATGTGCACTGTACAGTGATTAAAAATAGAAATTAATACAAAAGAAAACAATAAAAGTTACCTAAATTCCTCAACTCCAAGATCATTAATATTTAGGTGCATATCCAGTCATTTTTATTTGCATATTTTTCTTTTATTTTCTAAACAGGGATCACATTTTACTTATTATTTTACAACTTGTTTTCTCAGCTAACTATAGATCCTAAATATCTTCCCAGGGTATTAAATATTCCTTTAAAATAATTGTTATAATACCTGTTCATAGTAGTATATTAAAATAGTAGAGAACTGTATTGAGAAAAAAGTAAAATTCTGCTTATCTTACCAATATCCCATTTCAAATATGACATAAAACTAAAATTATAAAGGAAAAATTCCTTACTCCATAAAAATTTAAAACTTTGCAAAGTAAAAAACAATCACAAGGCGCCTAGGTGGCTCAGTCGGTTATGTGTTAGACTCAATCTCAGCTCACGTCATGATCTGGTGGTTTGTGGGATTGAGCCCCACGTCAGGTTGTACAATGACAACATGGAGCCTACTTGGGATTCTCTCTCTCACCCTCTCTCTCTGCACCTCTCCCTCTTGTGTTCACACACACTCTCTCTCTGTCAAAATAAATAAATTTTAAAAAAAGACAATCACAAAGTATAAACAATAAATGACAAACTGGGAAAAATGTTTTCCATGCAAATGACAAATAAGTGACTAATTTCCTCAATATGCAGAACCTTTTATACACACACACACACACACACACACACACACACACACCATGGTGAAAGATCAGTAAATTTCTAAAAATGGGATAAAGATGTGGGTTGGCATGTCATTGATAAAGAAATACAAGTGGCCAAACAAAATAAAAAAGAAAAGAAAAACAAGCCTTAAGAGGATGAACTGAACCTTTTATACAGAAGGTTAAAACAAAAATGAACACATTTAATAATACTCATTGTTGGGATGATGTGAAGAACTATTCTCAGAGTGGAAGTGTAAATTGGTGCAACCTTCTTTGAATGGTCAGTTGGCAATATCAACATTCTAAATACAGACATCTTTTCAATGAGTAATTTCACTACTTGGTCTTTGTCCCTTGTAATTAAATACATGAAGATATTTGTTACAGTATTGTATGAATGGCAAGTTCCCATATTAAATGAATTTAAGGAAAATAACGTATGAAACCATTCACTGGAATTACTTAGTTTAACCACTAGATGTCACAATTGTTACACAAAAATTTAGCTATAGCTAGGTAAATAGAATTTGAAGGTTGGAATAAACTTTCCATATATGTTCTTTCACTTTAAAAGAATTGGTGCTTGAAAAATATGGGAAAATATGGAATAAACTTTCCATATATGCTCCTTAACCTTAAAATAATTGGCACCTGGGTGGCCTAGTTGGTTAAGCGACTGACCCTTGATTTAGGCTCAGGGTAGGATCTCACGGTTTGTGAGA